TTCCACTCACCTGGCTGTCAAAAATGGCAGACGTAGTATTTTTTTTTTTTTTTTTTAGGAACATTAGCCCTGAGCTAACACCTGCCACCAATCCTCCTCTTTTTGCTGAGGAAGACTGGCCCTGAGCTAACATCTGTGCCCATCTTCCTCCACTTAATATGTGGGACGCCTGCCACAGCATGGCCTGACAAGCAGCATGTAGGTCAACACCTGGGATCCAAACCGATAAACCCTGGGCCTTGGAAGGGGAACATCAGAACTCAACCGCTGCACCGCTGGGCTGGCCCCTAAGCTATGTATTTTTGAAAGCTTGAACCTACACAAAGCCTCAACAGAACATCCAAATGGTCTCTCAACTGATACTTCATTCGGTTTAAGCTCCTGCCAGAGGTCTGATTTCAGGAGTCCTTGTTAATTACCAAACTTTCTGAAGCGAAAGGAAATCCATCTATTGTATAACTAGACTCCAGAGCAAAACTTAAGCAGAAAATTGAAGCAAATACCCAAGAAATTCAGGCAAAACCTCGCAGCTTGATTTGTATCTTCTTTTAAATATCACAACCCCAGAGCAAGACAGCAAATAATTGATAGGCAACGTAGAGAAGAGTAACTGACAGGAGTGAAACCCTGCAGGGACTGACCTAGAAAGAGAGATGAAAGGAGCTGAGAGAGACTGGTTGCCCCATCTTAGCACAGTCCTAAGAGGTAGATATTTCTGAGATCTGGCCCTGTCTAATCCCTCGGTGACTTCAAACATACTGCTCAACGATTCTATTTTAGTAACTCTCACTTTTCCAAATGGGGATAGTATGAAATGGGTTCCATTTCCTCTCTGGGCTGAGCTGCAGTCAAAAGGCATCTGTCTAGTTTGTTTCTTCCTTAGGAGGCAACCCTCCGCTGAAGCCTTCCCGGGAAGATTCCTTCGGGACCAAATGACACTTACTGAACCTCACTGGCCTTAGTTTTCTCATGCAGCTTTTTTTTTTTTTTTTTTTTTTGAGGAAGACTGGCCCTGAGCTAACATCCGTGCTCATCTTCCTCTATTTTATATGTGGGACACCTGCCACAGCATGCCGTGCCAAGCAGTGTGTAGGTGCGTGGTCTTAGTTTTCTCTTCTACAAAATGTGAGTTAAAAACACCTGCGTCGTGAGTTTGGATGAAGATAAGTTAAATGTATAAAGTCACTTAACAAAGGGCCTTACAAATAAAAAGAACTCAAGAAATGGTAGCTTTTATTATCTTAAAAAGATGATTTATACCAGCTGTCAATGACTTTCTCTCTGCGTTACCTAACAACCCTTCAAGCTGATAAAATATTTTTTGAAGCCTAAAACTCTCTATATTTAATTTAATCCTAATTCCATTCCTTTTAGGCTGTATTTTAGAGACTTATACAGTATCTTCTATGTGGTTTTATACAGTTTTAATTATTTGTTCTGAAAACTGAGGATTCAGAGAAAGGGTAACATTGAAACAGCTGGTGCCGCCTGGACCAAGAGCTCAGGAGGGTTTTCGGGAAGAGTTCTTCACTCACCACAGTGGCAGGGCCAGTGTGCGGCAGCTCCAACATTCAGCGGACCGCCAATTACACATCTGCATCTACTAATGAACATCCACATCTGCTGAGAGATCAGCAAACTCTCCCACAGAGCCCGGACTTTTCCACAAACTTCTCAGAAGTACTCCGGACGGTCCCTGCTGATCCGTCGGCCACTACTAATCTGTTTCCACTCACGGGATGTCGTGTAGAGTGAAGCATATTTTAAATGGGAAGGAAGCCATGAAGAAGAACAATTGGATTTTGACTTCTTATTTTGGTTTTCTGTGTCTAGAGACCAAAAAAAAAAAAAAACCTAAACAAAGCAAAACATGATTAAAGCCAATTCTTGATCCTCTGTGATAATGGAGAGTATGGCATAGCACGAACAAATCAAATTAACAAATCTCCAAAGCTTATATTAGGGATGAAGAGTTAAAAGAAAATGATGTCTAAATATAAAACATCATAGGAACACAGGAAGCTTAAGTTTCATTTGAAAATGAATAGAAAAAATCCATGGTAGGCAACCATGGGCAAACCTCCTCTTTCGTCAGAGCTGTTGACAAGTAACTAAGTCTGCAGATTTTATTTTCACCTCCCTGGCCCTTCACTGTGTGTAGACTAGTAGATGGGGTAATATAGCAAGAGGCGAGAAGGAACAGAGACAACTGAGCTGGGAAACCAGACATGTTGATCGGTTCTTGAATAATCCACATCTGCAAGACCACGAAATGTTTGGTGATTAACATATAAAAACAGTCTCAGTGTTAAGAAGAGAGAAAAGATTAAGTAGCAGTATGGAAAGCCTACAGGAAAAAGCTAAAAATATTTCAAAAGAAAAATCTATGAACTAGGAAAAAAATGTATCTCCATATGCAATTTTGTTTAGCTCTTGGGTAAAAGACAAGACCGTCTATGTCGACTCAGGGTACAGATGCTATCTGTCGGGCCACGACCACTGACAGAAGCAGAATAGCATAGCATGGACAGACTCCAGAGCCAGACTCTCTGGTTTGAACACCAGTTCTGCAACTTTCCAGCTTTGTGAACTTGGACAAGTTGCACAACTTCTCGGTGCCCCAGTTCTCTTCTCTGTGAAGTGGGGGTGATGACACCACCCACCTTAAAATGTTCTGAAGAGGTTTAAATGAGTTAATGACATCTAGAACAGTTTTTGACACATAATAGATATCATACTTGAGTATTTGCTGTTGTTCTTAATTGTTACAATTTGTTAAAGATCAAACCTCAAAGGAATAATAGATACTTTTTAAAAATAGTCCGATGCATTACTGAGTTTTATCATGTGTTTATTTTTAGACATTTTAGAGAGTGTACTGGTTTTCTATTGTTGCTGTAACAGGTTTCCACAAATTTGGTGGTTTAAACGACACAAAGTGCTGGAAGTCAGAAGTCTGCAATGAGTCTCCCTGTGCTAAAGTCAAGATGTTGGCAGGGCCCCCCTTTCTGGGGCTTTAGGGAAAAATCTGATTTCCTGCCTTTTCAGTTTCTAGAGGCTGCCTGCATTCCTGGGCTGGCGGCTCCCTTCCATGGTCAAAGCCAGCAACATCCACTCAAGTCTTTCTCACATTACATCACTCTGACACTGACTCCTCTACCTCCTTCTTCCACATTTCAAGGCCTTTGTGATTACACTGGACCCATCCTGATGATTTATGATGATCTCCCTATTTTAAACTCAGCTGATTAGAAACATTAATTCCATCTGCAACCATAATTCTCTTTGCCAGGTAAAAAAGCAAAATCACAGGTCCAAGATTTAGGGTGTAGACATTTTGGGGGGGCCCACAGCTCTGCCTAGCACAGTGAGGAATAGCAATCTTAAACACTAGAATGAGTTATACAGTCCGCATGGTAAAGTGAGAAGAGTTCTGGAGTCAGCAGATAGGAGATCTGAGTTCAAGCCTATGTTCGGCTATTAACTAGTTTTATGACCTCGATTAATTTTAAGCCACTTGAATTCTCTGAATGTGTACAATAAGACTTGCTGTTGCACTGCCAAAGTCTGCACCCCTCACTAGGTATTCACCTCAAAAACAGTAATTCGGTAACATGGAGCATAGGGCAGAGTAGGAGATCATCATCTCTAGTGGAAAAACACCTCAAAAATGCTTGAGCGACAGACAGATGGCCGTAAACTGTGTCTCTTACTTGGGAAGAGTAGCACATCTCCAAGCTTTGGCTGACCGTTAACCCTGAAACAGCCTCTGGTTCCAACTGGGAAACAACAAAGATCTTGCGGGCTTTCCGATCTAATCTGTTTTGAGTTCTTGTATACTTCCCCAGCTGTTTTTAGCCAGTAGTATGCTATTGCCTCCAGACGTTCATCATTTACAGAATCTTGGAAAGCTCTTGGAAAGTTCACCATTTACAGAATCCTGCCCTGCTCATCTTCCCAGGCAAGGACAGCTGTGTAACAGCAAATCTGTCAGGCATTCAGCTGCTCCTTGTCCCAGACCTCCAGGGCTGGCCTATCCTTCCAAGCAAATTTGAGGCTTCTCTCTTCTCTTTCTCCCTGTGGCTCTCTATGACCAGGGGGCGGGTCTCAGAGCTGTGTGGTCCAGTAGGGATACCTTGGGCTAATAATATCCATTGTGCTTGGAAATTTACAATTGTATGCTACTACAATAAAGTTCCTGGTCAAATCTGCTTGTCTGTCTGTGCTAAAAACATCAGCAGACCATTGGAAAGAAGCCAAAGCCTTAAATGAGGTGAGAGTGAGGTTGTGTCTAACAGACAGTATGGAGCTGGAAGGTAATGAAGAGTCTAAGATGGGAACTTAGCTTTATCGTTGAAGGCCTGACTCTGAAAACATCATGAAGCCAGAAACCAAGAAACAAATAGCTGGTCTTCACTCCCAAGCAAAATAAATCTTCCCTATCTTTTCTTTATCACAGTGGTTCATTAACAAAACTGCAATAAAAAAATCTTAATGCTTTCTTTAAGTTTGTCATGTGAAAAGAAATCACTTATTTACATTTGATTTCGTAGGGTGGAAATATTTGGCTGTGCTAACAATATGCATCAAGCATATAGACAGCAGGCCAGTGGTGGGTCTTTGTGTTGAAATGATTTTCGTAGCTGTGGCTCTTGGCCTCCAGGAGCATGAAATCTGTTTTTGTTTGTTCAGTATACCAATATCCAGGAAATCAATGCCTCTTCTCCTTATATGTGGAAACTTTTGGTTGAATTTTATTTGATAGCTGGGTCTCCTTCAATGTTGTATATATTTTTGCTTAATAATGGAAAAAGTTGATTAATAGAATGATTAAACGCTAGGCTGAATAGCTATTACTATTCTTACTCATTAAGGTTCATTTAGCCAGAAAATCCTTTTTGCCTCAACCCTTGTTAATAGAATCATTTAAAAATATATTGGCTGATGTTGGTTTGTTTTCTTAAAATGAAAAGTATAATGCCCCGAATCTAATTTTTTTTAGGGTGTTACTACTGTATTAAGGATCTTGTAGGGCATGGAAATCAAGATTCCGCACACGTTTGCACGTGGTACAGCTGAGGATTGAAGCCTGGGATGGATATGTACCAACCGTAGAACCTGCCATGGTAGCTATTACTTTTTATTAAATGACTGATACTCATTCTTTTTCCTGAAAGCCAAGGATAGAAGCTAATTCCAGTTAATTTATGGTTTCATTTCATTGAGTTCCACTTAAATGAGATTTTACTGTAACATGGCCAATTCTGTTATGAATTATAAGATTTATTTGGGGCAAAGTTAATTCTTACAAGCAGAAAGAAAACTAATGTCTTTAAAACTTGAAAGACGAGGCTTCTTAGAACTTATTTTCAGCATGCCACACAGGTCTGCCTGTTTCCAGCAAAACCTAATTCCAGACACCGCTTTTTATCTCTAACTCTGGCTCTGATTGTGTCTTCGCTTTGGTGACACCCTGGCGGCTTCTTTCTGTTGCTCAGAACTTGTCAAAAAAACATGGAACATTCTGATGAGTTCAGTCTCTCTCAACCACCTCTAGGTCAAGTCCCGCTCTCTGAAGGGTTCTTCTGATCCTATGCCTGCTGCCCGAGGTGGTGGGCTTTTGAGCAGGACTTAATTTTGCCTCATTTTAAATCATGTGCTCAATTGCTTTCTTATTCTCAGATAGTGAAAAGCCACCAAAGAATAGCTTAATGCATAAGAAAAAACAAATTTAGGCAAATTATGCATCTGCTCGTAAATAATAGGTTCGTGTTTATGAGGTAGCTAATTCTCCACAATATTAGGCGCTCCTTCAATCAAAGCCGGAGAAATGAAAAGATCCCAGAATTTCTTTGTCATGCTGAAAAGTCGCCCCTGCTCCAGTCGCCTCGTTTTTGAGAAGGGGTATTTGTTCTCTCTCATAATCTGGAAATGCATGTAACTAATTGAAATAAGATGTACTCCTTAAATGATGAAAATAAAAAGTGATCAAAATAGATTTTTGTTATCCGTTGGGCATTGGCAGTTTAAATGCGAACTGCATGGCTTGCAGTGTGGGGAATTAATTATTGGTAATTGAAGTTGTAAGCTTAATTCCCTGCTTGCTTCAATGAAAATGAATCCTTTTATTTAATATTGAAATAAGCACCACTAACCTCATGAACTAGGACAGCACATGCATTCAGCTATTGAGTAATAGTGAATGTTAAAAAAGCTTTATCTTTTAAACACTGAATTGTGATTAAAACAAAACAAGACAAAAACACTGGGAGGCAGATACATTAGCAAACAACATAACGGATGCTGTTGAATACTTAATAGATCCTGCTCTTGTCCACCAGTTAGAAAACACATTTTGTATTCTAATAAAAGTCTAAACCATTAAAAATATATATATATATATTTTTTAAAACTTCTCCTCAGTGAAATGTTTTTATTGACCTATATTGTCATAATGAAGCACGATGACCATTTAGACTGTTAAGCAAGTCAAGTCACTGCCTGGTGTTTCTGCTGTGAGGAGATCTTTCCTTTCACGGCCAAGCATCAGGTGGACTCTGCTTTCTGCCCCACTCTCATCTCGGATCTCTCTCGGCTCTGGCCATCCAGGAATGCCTCTGGGCACTTACACTTACTGTGACTCAGGTCTGGTCTGCTTTCCCAGCCCCCTACATCTGCCCTTGGCCTAATCAACATCTTTTACTCCTCTCAGATCTCAGCTCAAACATTACCCCAGAGATTGGGGCAAGTCCTCCTCTTTTATATTCTTATCACAGTAAGTCATGTTGTAATTACTTGTTTCACGCTTGTCCTTTCTGCCAGAGCATAGCTTCAAGAAGGCAGGGACAGTGTCTGCCTTGTTCACAGCTGCAGCTCCGGTAACTAGTTCAGAGCCTGTACATCCTGGGAATCAAGAAACATGTCTGAGGAAAGGAAGGAGGAAAAGAAGGAAGAATGGAAGGAAAGCTGAATGGTAATAAAGGTCAGTCTGAGACGCTTGGCAAAATTCCCATTTTATAGTCCTGAAGTATCCATCATAGTTATACGACAGGTAATGATTTCTTTTTCTCGTTTTTTATGGGAAATGAGTGGAATTAATATTTTCCAACTTTTTATTTATTGTACTTCATACTAAGTCCCAGGCACACCTTCCCAGAAGACAATTTATCCATATTTCAATAGTTAACACATGCAACTGTGTAATAAGTAATACAAGAAAAATTTCTTGTTCAGAAATTAAACTTGCTTGCTATTTAATGTTTTTTATTACAGAAAATTTAGACAATGAACTTCTCTCAAATGAGAGAGAAGAGTCTGAATCTGCTCTCAGTGGAACCTATCATTTCTGACCTCGGAGAGGTAATAAGAGGCTTCAAGTGCTTTGTTCTTTAAGTAACTGGCCACTGTGTACATTGTTTGGTCATGGGTTGTGGAAAAATCCCCCCGAGTCAGCTCCAAGGAACAAAACGTGGTTGCTTAGACTGTTCAAACCTTCAAAACTAGTCTTCTCAAAAGGCTTGGGCCTAAAGAACACTTGTGTGACCTACATGTTGTTTGCCATTGTCACTGACAGAGAACAAAGGAAAGGGAAGAACCCTTTGATTGGTCTGCATCTCAATAACCTGAAATGTCTGCCCCACTGCTCATTTTAAAAGGAGCAAGAGTAGATCTACGTGGTGTTCCAGGTTAGGATGGTGGAGCGAGCCGCACAGCTAATGCTGCTCCTCCGCAACGTTCCACTAAGACCAGAGGAAAGGGATGTTCTTTAAAGAGCAAAACCCACAGGAAAGACAATACAAGGGCAGTGAAACTTCGGAATCTGGAAAGCAGATTGACAACTGGCAACACCATATACTTCTGTTCTGTACAGAGGGTGTGGAGAGGAGGCTAGAACAGCAAGGTGTCTAAAACAGGAAAGACTGGGTGAAAGCTGTCCCACTGGGTTAGATCTCTACGTCTCCACTCCATTGCACATTGCTATGGTTGAATAGATAGAGTATTTACGTTCAATATGTGCATATCTCAACTACATAGTATAGTAGTTTATTCTCAGGAGTAGATAGAGCAGGCCTCCGGACTGTGGGACATCAGGCACACGTGAGAGCAGATGTATTATTCTCACACCAAACACAGACAGACTGCATGACCGAATGCTAGATGCTGAGGACTTCTCTCTCTTCCTCGGCTTGGCTCCCAGAATGCCAGAAGCCCTACTACTTCCCTCTAGGCAGGAGATTAGAAGGTTATTTTCTGCTAAACATAACCAACCTAGGAGGAAAGATTTTAAAATATTGACATCAGGAGTTCACCAACAAACAGCCCATCCAGAACACCTGAGAGTGTCACTCACAGTAAACAAGCCTCACATATAAGAAAGGATGACCAGATACTTGAGGGAGACCTCTAACATGGAAGACAGAGGCCAAAACCAACAAACGGAAGAAAGGAACTTGGAGAAAATAGAGACTATAGAAAGAGAAGAAACCTTCAACAAAACTATTAGTATCCTCAGAGAAATCAGAAGAAATGATTACCCTTGTGAAACTAGAAAATGGTACTACACAAAACGGAAATTCAAAGTAAAAAGAGATCTTGAAAGTTAAAAAATAGCTGAAATGAAAAAATTCGATAGAAGAATTGGAAGATAAAGTTGAAGAAAGTTCTGAGGAAGTAGAGCAAAAAGACAAAAGAGAAGGAAGACATAAGGAAAATCAAAGGAGCAGAACTGAAGGGCCAACACCTGAGTAATGGATGTTTTTTCCAGGAAAAGAGCACAGAGGCAACAAAGTGAAAAATCATTAACAAAATAAGTTAACAAAAATTCTCATAACTGAAGACAGGAGTTGCCAGGTAGAAGGGGCCCCCTAAGTGCCTCCCCAAGAAAATTTGAGTAGATCTATGTCAAGGAACATCATCGTGAAATTTCAGAACACTGGGGACCAAGAGAAGGGTCTATCAGCTTCCAGAGGGAAAAAAAGGTTACATACAAAGGATCAGGAATCAGAATGACTTCAGATTTCACAACTGCAGCAAGACAAGGGAGAAAGACCTTCAAAATTCTCCAGGAAAAGTCTTCCTACTGCAATTCTAGATTCAGCCAAACTGTCAAACACATATGAGGGAAGAATAAAGACACTTTCAGATATGCAAAGTCTCAAAAACTTAATTCCCATGTACTCTTTCTCAAGAGCGTAGTGAGGATATACTCCTACCAAAATCTAAGAAAAAAAATCAAGAAAGGGGAAGAGTGCTGAAGAGTTTGTTTCTGCACCCTAACCAGTGTTATCAGAGGCTCACTTGTATGGACTGTTCAACCAACAGAGTCGCCAGCAGGAGATGTGGAGGAGAGGAGGCCGAAGGCAGCTCGGGGCCCTGTCAGGATAAAGAGGCCTCTGAGGTACCATAGCATGCATTCTACCACTCATTTCTCAGGGATTTCTCTCTCTCCCTCACTTTCTCTTCTGCCTTCTTAATTCTCTCCTACTTTCTTACTCTTTCGCCCCCTCCTTCAATGAGCGATCTTTGACATAGCCTCCATCACCACGCTTAACCATGAAAAGGGCAGTGAGGCCAAAAGAGGCAAGGCAGCACAACGGATAACAGAGCATGGATTATGGAGTTAGACAACACCGGGTTCAAGCTCTAGTTCTGCCATTTAAAAGAGGGATGACCCCAGGCAAATTACTCACCTTTACTGTAATACAAGAAAAAGAAAGATCATTGTATCTACTTCATGTACAGGTTGATTAAATGTGGTAACAAATGTAAAATCTTAGAATAGTGAGTGGTATATTAAGCTCTCAATAAATGGTAGCTATAATTAACATAAATTAAAAGTGCCATTCCCCCAGGACAGCCAGATTGCTCCCAATTCCCCAGTTTACAAACATAACAAAAAACATCTTTATGTGGCATTTATGGTAGTCAATAGTACTATCCTCCAAATGTTTCCAGTCTCATTTCTCAGCACATGGTAAGATGTACTTCCTAGCTATTTACTTTCACCTTGAAGGTAGATGCAGCCAAGAGACTGCTTTGGTCAAAGAAATATGAGTTGAATTGATTTATACTACTTGCGGGTGAAAGTACCTTCCCCTTTAACTGTTGCATCTTGTAAGACAGTAATATTGTATTATCATAGTGCACATTTTGGGCACAGGTATCATTTCTTATATTATACATAATCACATCACCAATGTAGCCAGCGTCAATGGATTGATTCCAGAAGTTTGAGTGATCTTTCCTATGCAATTATGTAACATTGTAATGTGTCTACTTTAGTATTTCATGCAAACAGCATGAGCTCCAGTTATACCTATTTCAGCAGTAATCCACCCTGCCAATCTCTGTCTTTTACCTGGTGCATTTAGACCAACATTTACAGTAAGTCTGGGCGTGTGGGCTCGAGCCTGCCATTTGTTGCCTGTTTGCTACGTTTCCCTTTTCTTGCCTTCCTGTAGATCACTTGAAAATATTTTAGAATTACGCTTTGTTTATCATATTTTTGAGTATATTTCTTTGCATACTTTTCTAAACGGGTGCTGTGGAGATTACAGTAGACATGCATAACTTCTCACGGTCTACTAGTGTCAGCATTTTATCACTTTGAATGAAGCATAGAAACTTTACTTCCATTAAGTTCCTTTACTCTCTCACTTTTTTTAAGTGAAATTTTTATTGAGATACCTGTATATTCACACGAAATTATAAGAAATAATAGAGATCTGTTGCACACTGATTCTAGTTTCCCCCAATGGTAACTTTTCACAAAACTACAGTGTTATATCACAACCAGGATATTGGATACACCCCACCAATCAGATTTCTTAGTTTGACCGGCATTCGTGTGTGGGGTTTATGTATTAAGTTTTATACAATTATATCAACTGCGTAGGTTCACGTATCCAACAACACAGTCGAGACATTCAACAGTTTCAAGAACACAGTGACGGCTCATATTGCCCTTTTATAACCTACTCTCCTTCCTCCACCCACCGCCCCATCCCTAACCCCAGGCAACCATTTGTCCTGGCAATATGCCTTGCATTCTAAAATGTTTCCACTTTAAAAATGTTATATAAATCAAACAATATAGTATATAACCTTTAGGATCGGGTTTTTTTCTCTCAGCATAATTCTCTAGAGATTTATCCCTTCTCGCTTTTAAACGTAATGTCTCAAGTATTACACTGAGCACTCGCAGATGGTATAATAATCGTCAAATCCTGTGGTAGGCAGAATATCCCCTCCCTCAGAGATATCCACAGCCTAATCCCCAGAGCCAGTGACTATGCTACACAACATGGCAAAGGGGAATTAAGGCAGCAGATGGATAAAGGTTGCTACTTAGCTGACCTTAAAATGGAAAGATTATGCTAGATTATCAAAGTGAGCCCAATGTAGTCATAGGATCCTTAAAAGTGGAAGAGGGAAGCAGAAGAGAGAACCAGAGAGATGACAGTGTGAAGAGGACTCGGCCAACATTACTGGCTTTGAAGATGAGGAAGGGAGCCAAGAGACAAGGAAAGCAGGTGGCCTCTGGACGCTGAGGAAGGTAAGGAAATGGATTCTCTCCTGGAGTCTCCAGAAGAAACACAGCGCTGATGACACTTTGATTTTAGTCTAGTGAGACCCATTTTGGACTTCTGACCTTAAGAACTTTAAGATAATAAATTGTACTGTTTAAGTCATTATTGTGGCTATTTGTCACAGCAGCAAGAGAAAACTAATACAACTATCAAACATGATTTAAAAACTCATGGGATGAAGAATAGTGTATTATATTTGCCCCTATTTTTATCCATTCCATTGTTCCTTCTTCCTTTCTGATGTTCTAGGCCTACTGTTATCATTTCCTTTAGAGAATCTCCTTTAGCCATTCTTTAAACATAGGTCTGCTGGCAACAACTTCTCCTAGTTTTCCTTTGTCTGAGAGGTAATTAAATTTAAATACCCAGTATTCTAACTATAATATAATTAAATCATTTTTGGCTTAAAAAATAAGTGAACCTATATAAAGCATGAAATGAAAGCATACTACTGATGCAGAATCAAGTGGAGATACAGAAACTAGTACAACTGGACACTTTAAAAAAAGAGACTAGGGGGCTGGCTGTGTGGCCGAGTGGTTAAGTTTGCGTGCTCCACTTTGGCGGCCCCGGGTTTCGCTGGTTTGGATCCTGGGCACAGACATGGCACCGCTCGTCAGGCCACGCTGAGGCAGTGTCCCACATGCCACAACTAAAAGGATCCACAACTAAAAATATGCAGCTATGTACTAGGAGGGGTTTGGGAAGAAAAAGCAGAAAAAAAAGAAAAAAAAAGAGAAGATTGGTAACAGTTGTTAGTTCAGGGGCCAATCTTTTAAAAAAAAATGTGTTTCTAATATGACACATCGTGGTCCATCTCTATTAGAACAAAAATTCAGATTTATCAGAAATTTAAAACAAGGGACTGCTGGTTCCCTTACTGCTTCGTTCCAAAGTATGATATATTGAAAATATTTGTGCTCAGCCTTCTAGGCAGACCCTATGAGAAGCGTGAGGAGTAGAGTTGTTTAACAGTTATTTGGTGTTTAGGTACAAATGCTAGGAATCGTGGCCAACTTATGGAACTGCTGAAAGAAACAGAAGATGGTGATTTTAGTGATCTTGCCAGTGCTCGCTGACAGCGTCATGGAAGGATTTTAAAAGGATACTTAAGTCCAATTTAAGATTTTCCTGAAACAGAAAGAAAGCTTGCTAAATATTTGATAATCAAAGACAGAAAATAACATTGTGACTTACATTTTCTCACAGATATCAAACTACATATGAACAAACTAAATTCAAAACTCCAAAAGGAAGGTTACTTTTGACCCAGGTAGATAGGTACAAGAATTTATGTTGAGATTGAAACTCTTTATACTACAAATCAATAATAATGATTTTACACATTTTTCTAACATGAATCAAAGTGCAGGAGATTCTAATCATAATCGATGGCATTATTTAATGTGATTGCAAAAAGAAAAAAACACAAGAAAAAATCTAAAGAATACTCTGTTGATATCGGTAAGTTCAGAGTTTCTTTTCAAATTATGCAACACTTCTTTGAACTCAATGTTAATAACATTAAATGACATAAGAGTTAGTGAATTTACTTGGATTAAAGTAGTTTTAAAACTGATATGCTTTTGCTTCAAAGTCAAATCAATTCTTTTAAAAAAGATGAACCAGTTTTGACAACATAAATGCAAATATTAAAGAAAAATATTTTTGGAACTTCATATATTTATTGGAAATTTTTAAGTATATTTGGAACTGGGGCCTATGAGTCTACTATTTTTTTTAATTGAGGTAACAATGGTTTATAACATTATATAATTTCAGGTGTACATCACTATATTCCTATTTCTGTGTAGACCACATCATGTTCACCACCCAAACACTAATTACCGTCTGTTATGTATGTGGCTCACATTATATTTTTAGTTGACATCATTGATCTAGATATTATCCCCTTGTTAGTTTTCGATGCTGCAACTTTTCTGTCCCTGTCTGTTAACTTTGCTTTTGGTATCCTTCATTGAAGAAAAAAAGCCTTAATATTGATGTAGTTAAATCATCAATTTTTCATTTATGATTTGTGCTTTCAGGGTTCAATATATCTCACAAAGAATTCTTCATATTCTTCTACCAGCTCTGCATTTTTTTTTATTGTTTTCCTTTTTCTCCCCAAAGACCCCAGTACATACTTGTGTATTTTTAGTTTTGGGTCCTTCTTGTCGTGCTATGTGGGGCGCTGCCTTCAGCACGGCCTGATGAGCGGTGCCATGTCCATGCCCAGGATCCGAACCAGCGAAACCCTGGACTGCAGAAGCGGAGCGCATGAACTTAACCACTTGGCCATGGGGCCGGCCCCCCAGCTCTGTATTTTTACCTTTCTCCTTTAGGTTTTTAATCCATCTAGAGTTCATCTTTGTATGGTGTAAGCCAAAAGTCCAGCTTTTTCTCCAGGAGATGAGCCAGTTTTCCTAAGACCATATACCAAACAAGGCATCCTTTTCCATTTTCTGTGGTACCACATTTATCTTATATTAAATTATCATATACACACAGATCTATTTCTGAACACTTCATTCTGTTCCATGTGTCTGTTCCTACATCAGAGCCATACTTTTTTTGGTAATATTCCCTAATTGTTTTAATCATTCCTCATCCCTATGCTGGTATCAGCTACAAACATCCCACCAAGAGAGTCTCTATATTTTCCTTTTGCTTTATTTTATCAGCTATAGGTTTTGGCCTTTTAAGTAGTATTAATACATACCGCCATTAGAACTCCCTTTGACTGCCTTTTCTTTAAGGAGGTTGTTCTCAATGAGTCTTTTAGAAAAACTGTTCTAGAGTAAAAATCTGCTCGTTCATTTTAGACAGTGATCTGGTCTCACACGCTGAAGAGATTGGATAATATTTGAACCACATAACCTAGAAGCCAGTGAAATAACTCTGTCAGTATAAGACGTGTACAGGTCCTTGATCAGCAATGAATGGTCGTGGATCTTTAGGGTACCCTCCAGACTCCACTGTTCCAAGTGGTACAGCTACTGGTGGCTTGAAATTGTAGTTCCAAAGGTCAGTGAAAACAATCTTTGACTAAAGAGTAAATTCAAAATTATTTCATTCACTAATAGACCGTTCTGAGAGACAGAGCAGCCAGGGCTCAATCATTCCTTATAAAGAATCTTTGATATACTAGACACTGGTGTTTCAAATAGCAAAGAAATGCATTTTATTTATACATTTATACCTTCTTTTCTCAGAGAACTTAAGATAAAATGAATAAAATAACCTTCTGCTCAATAATTTCACCATCTGGCAAGGAAAAAATACGTCAAAACTATTACCATAACACCAAATAAAAGTATTACAATACAGATAACGCTAACAAAGTAAGAGAAAATTAATACATAAGAGCAAGAGATTAAAGTAGAGTATCACATTTGATCTGGGGATTGAAAAATAAAGTGAAAATTTTAACTTTAAAATGGAATCATCCATTTTCTTAATCAAGTGATCAAACTTAGCATCACTCATAGTGGGACAACCAGATATAACGTGCCTCCTGATCTGATGCAATAAGAAGTACACATCACCTAAGAAGTAGTCTTGCTAAAAATGTTTAGCATGAATCTAATCAAACCTCTGGACCTAATTTTCAGTTTACCAAAAGTATAGGAGATAAAAGGACTAGTTAAATGACCACATGAGGAAAATAATCAGACAAATTCAGAATGTGAGGTTTTCTACGAGACAACTGGTCTGGAGCTCTCAAAAGCCAACAATAGGGAGGGCCTGGTGGTGCAGTGGTTAAGTTCGCACATTCTGCTTTGGCAGCCCGGGGTTCGCCGGTTTGGATCCCAGGTGCGGACCTATGCACTACTTGTCAAGCAATGCTGTGACAGGCACCCCGCATATAAAGTAGAGGAAGATGGGCACGGATGTTAGCTCAGGGCCAGTCTTCCTCAGCAAAAAAGAGGAGGATTGGTGGCGGATGTTAGCTCAGGGCTAATCTTCCTCAAAAAAAATAGTAAACATTGTGATAAAAAAGATACTGCACTATTCTATATGAAAAGTGACATACAAAACTTAACAACTAAATGCAATGAGTGAACCTCTTGAATTGATCTTCGTTTAAAATATATATATAAACTTTATATATTATTAATAAATAAAACATATGTATATAAAAGACATTCTTGAAACAATTGGATTAATTTAATATGGAATTACTATGAATTTTCTGAGGCACAATAATAGAATTGTGTTATAGAGGAGTTGCATGGTGAGTGTTTAGCAGGAAAGTGTCATGATGTCAAATTTACTTTGAAAATATATGAAGCAAATATAGCAAAATGTTAACAACTATTGAATAAAGGGAGAGGATATGTGAGTTTCATTGTTTAATTCTTTTAACTTTGATGAACGTGAAACTTTTTCATAATAAAACTTAGAATAAGTTGATTCTCTCCTATGGGTGATGTTAATGTTAAAAAATAAGAAAAGCATAGGCACTGAGCAAGTGGAGAAGGGGAGCAGGGAGGGTGACATCCTGGGCTGATGGGAAAGCTTAAGCAAAGGTACAAGGGTGGAATGCTTGTGTAGACTAGGGAGCTGTCCCTCTAGAGTATATAAAATTCATATCTGACACACCATGTGGATGATGAGCAAACCTCTACTGAGCAGCTGCTATTGTAACTGTCTCTTGTATCTTAAAGTTCTTTGGCTGACGGTGATAAAAATCAATTGAAGAAAAAGCCAGGACTCAAGAAGAACTAGAACCAAGACAGCTCCAGGGGTATAGAAGTCAATAACCAGTCTTCCCAAGGGGAATGGATCAGCTCCAATCCTTTTCCCTCTTTGGCTTACTCATGAGTCAATTCTTTTTTTTTTTTTTTTTTTTTTTAAGATTTTATTTTTTCCTTTTTCTCCCCAAAGCCCCCCCGGTACACAGTTGCGTATTCTTCGTTGTGGGTTCCTCTAGTTGTGGCATGTGGGACGCTGCCTCAGCGTGGTCTGATGAGCAGTGCCATGTCCGCGCCAGGATTCGAACCAACGAAACACTGGGCCGCCTGCAGCAGAGCGCGCGAACCTAACCACTCGGCCACGGGGCCAGCCCCTCATGAGTCAATTCTTAGCGGAGAGAGTAACATCTAGACCCTAGCGTGTTCTCTTAGCATGGGTACTAAGGGATCAGTCCTTATTGGGTGGCATTCTTGCTCACCTAAATTCAACTCTAGCGAGTTCTATCCACTATTCTCTGAGCAACCCTTGAATCCTTCTTCTCTTCTTGTTTGTTGGCCAGAGTTGGCTTCTGTCACTTGCCACCAAAGAACCACAATACAATTTTCTGTCTCTTTTTCATTTGTAGTTAGACCCTTGGACATTTCCCTGTCATACACTTCATGGCACAATCACTTGTTGTGGTTTACTTTTCTCTGATTCTTTGTGGTAGATATGAAACAAGGAGGTGTTTAAAAAAATGCTTTTTCCCTCTGGATTTGGTAGAGTATAGGAGTTAAGGATGGAAAGTATGGCAGGATAAGGGCATGAGATACACAAAGAGAAAAAGAAGAAGAAAAGAGGCAACAAGGAAGGCAGGGGAAGGAACCTGAG